ACACACACACACACACACACACACACACATACATACATACACGCCCATGTATATGATGGGGGAATTTTAAAGCAAGACAACAAAACAGGCAGTAAGCTTACTTGAGCTAAAGTGCAATAGATGGCCATTTGCCATGGATCAAAAGAAAACATTTCTCAAATCTACCAGAATATGTATCACAAACAAACTGGTTCCCTGTCACAATACAATTAAAGGCAAGGACTTTGCGCATATCATCCTAACGAAGCTCTTTTGTGTTCTCCATAGTCAGGCTGTACAGAGAGAACGTTTACTCTAACACTAACTGATGTACATTTAGCCCAAAGTTATGGAGCCCCATGTCTCCACCCGCTTATCTGTTTCTACATTTCAACCAAGTGACTTGTACAGAGATTTACACACCAGCACGCAGTAGTTTGGGTTTTTTAAATAGTTTTTATGCGAAATTGATCTAAAGATTTTCTTACTTGATATTGGTATGAATCTGAGAGTTTTTATCGCTCCCATTCTTGTGTTTGTTTCAATGATTTAGTAACTGAGAAAATTGAGAAAGTCGCTCTGTCCAGTTGTCAAGCCATACCATCAAAACATTGTCGATGTTTGTTCATGAGGGTCTAGAGTGACCTTGGGAGAGGCGGCATATATAGGCCGCTTTGAGATTAGAATAATTGTTCATCATGAGACGCATTAGATATTTTAACATGGCAGTAACTGCTTCGGTTTGTCGGTCAGCAACGCAGTATGTATAATGTCAGGTTTTCTTAGAGAGATAAGTACCCCCAACGGCTCAGATTTTTAAAAAAAGCTTCCAGCACATGGAAAAATAAAATCGACCTTTCCGAGTAACGACTACATAGCATTTACCTGTCCGTCCTACAGCTTTACATGTTTAAATCCAATTTCTACTCTGTTTAAATCTGACACTACTGTGTTTAAATTCGACGTCATCTACCAGATAGCACAAAGTCTGTATACCTTCATTCAGGAGATGAACGAGATGTTATGGGAAAGGCGGCGGAGGGTGGAGGTGGGGGTCGTCGACTTGTTCTATACATTATGGACTTAAAAAGAAGAAAGCTCGCACTAGCCTATGAGATTTCATATGAGAAGCGTCGATTCCTCTAACTAGTGGCTGCCGCACTTTTGTATGTGTGTGT